AGAAGATGAATTGTCATTATTTTCATATGACATGATATTCTACATAGAAGACCCCAAAAACTCCTCCATCAAACTTCTATATTTAATAACCAAATTCAGTGGCATAGCTAGATATAAAGTCAAGACTCAAAAATCAATAGCCTTCCTGTAAATGAATGACCTTCCAGTTCATTGAGAGAGAAATTAGGGAGACAATACTTTTCACAGTGGTATACAAAAAAACAATGAAATATTAGGAATCCATCTATGAAGGAAGTAAAAGACCTTTACATGGAAAACTATAGTACCCCAAAAAAGGAGATCAAAGAGAATATCAGAAAATAGAAAACTAGCCAGGGATTTAGCTCAGCAGCATAAGCGCTTGCCTGAAAAGCTCAAGGTTATAAATTCAATTCCCAGTACCAAAAAAAAACCATATCCCTTGCTCTTGAGTAGGAAAAACCAATATAGTGAAAATGGCCATAATTCCAAAGTGTTATACAGATTTAGTGCCATTCTGATGAAAATTGCAACAGCATATTTTACAGAATAGAGAAAACAAACCTAAAATTTATTTGAAACCAAAAGAGACCTAGTTCTTTCTGAAGTTACTGGAAAAAAAAAAGGGACCTAGAATAGCAAAGGCAATTCTGGGCAACAAAGGCAAAGCCAGGGGCATTACAATCCGTGACTTGAAATCATACTACAAAGCTACTGTGACTTTTAAAAAAACAATATGGCACTGGGGGAAAAAACACCAAAAAACAGACCCAGGGATCAATGGAACAGATTAGAAAATGCAGAAACAAATACAGACACACTGGGGGCTGGGGATTTAGCTCAGTGGCATAAGCGCCTGCCTTGCAAGCAGGCAGTCGTGAGTTCGATCCCCAGTACCGATAAAAAACGAAAAAGACAAAACAAACAAACAAAAAAAAACAAATACAGACACACTAAGTCATCTTATCTTTGACAAAGGTGCCAATCTCATTCATTGAAAGAAGGAGCTTCTTTAATAAATGGTGCTGGAAAAGCTGACTTTTCGTATGATGAAGACTAAAATTGAACCTATTTCTTTCACCATGCACTAAACTAAAGTCAAAATGGGTCAAAGATCTAAATACTTAAACAGAAACATGAAATCTGCTGGAAAATAGAATAGGTATTAGTGTAAAATAGAATTAACATTGGTGTAAGTAAAGACTTTATGAACGAAATCCACCTTGATCCCACAGGAACTATCACAAAGAATCAACAACTTGGACCTCATCGTATTAAAAAGCTTCTGCACAGCAAGAGAAACCACAGAGTGAAGAAAGAACTGACAGTGTGGGAAAAATGTTTGCCAGCTTTTCCTCAGACAAAAGATTACTATCAAGAACATACAAAGAGGGGCTGGGGATTTAGCTCAGCGGCATAAGCACCTGCCTTGCAAGCAGGCGGTCGTGAGTTCGATCCCTGGTACCGGTAAAAATGAAAAAGACAAAAAAAAAAAAAAAAAAAGAACATACAAAGAACTGAAAAAAAAATCAGATCCCCCCAAATTTAAAAATCCAATCCAAAAATAGGCGTCTGAGATGAATACACACTTCTCAAATACAGCAGTACAAAGAGCAAATATATGGAAAAATGTTCAATATTACTGGTCATTGGAGAGATGCAAATTAAAGCAACACTGAGTTTCCATCTTGAGAAAGAATGGCTACTGTCAAGAAATCAAACAGTAACAAATGCTGGTGGGGCTGTGGAGAAAAAGAAGCCCTTCTCCCCTGTTAGTGGGAATGTAGACTGGTGCAACCCCTGTGAAAATCAATATGGACATTCCTCAAAAAACTAGAGGACAGGACTAGAGGTTCTGTTTGACCCAACCATTCCCTTCCTAGGTATCTTCCCAAAAGAATTGAAAGCACTGGCTTATGGGTTAGTTTAGTGGCATAAGTGCCTGCTTGGCAAAAGCGAGGTCCTGAGTTCCATCCCCAGTACAAAAAAAAAAAAAAAGAATTAAAAGCACCATACAACATAGATATATGCACACGTATGTTTATAGCAGCACAGTTTATAATAGCCAAATCTTGGAAATACTCCAAATGACCATTAACTAGTAAATGGATAAAGATGTGGAGTTTAGGGGCTGGGGATTTAGCTCAGCGGCATAAGTGCCTGCCTTGCAAGCAAGCAGTCGTGGTTTGGATCCCCGGTACCGATAAAAAGGAAAAAGACAAAAAATTAAATTAAATTAAATTTAAAAAGATGTGGAGTTTGTTTTTATTATAATGGAGTACTACTCTGCCATAAAGAAGGATACAGTCAAGACATTTCTAAGAAAATGGATGCACCTTGAGACCATACTCTTAAGTGAAAGAAGTTAGATACACATGTGTAAACACTGCAATGTTTCTCTGGTGTGAGAAACCAAAAGTGTAAACAAGGACCAAAATGTGTAATGGGTATTGTGAAATAGGAAGAAATGTTCAAATGGGAGGAGAACGAGGGAGAGGAGAGGGGGAATGGAAAGACGGGAAAATAAAAAAAGAAGGAAAACATGGAAATAAAGCTTTTGCAAATGGAGAGGAGAGGAAGAGTTAAAGAGAAGATAAGGGAATGGGGGAAAATCGAGTTAAGTCATATACAGGTACACATTCTTTATGATGAATGTGATCTTTATGTATATTCAAAAGGTAACAATAAAATCTGATTAAAAGTAAATAAAATTTTGAGCCAGCATCTCACTAACTTCCAAAATTGTCCAAGATGAGCTCAAACTTTAAATCTTCCTTCTTCAGCCTCCCAAAGTTCTAGAATTATAGGCCAGTGCCATCATCCCCTGCTTGTATGTGTGCTTTGTTACTTGCAGTATTTGTTACAGAGCTCAGGAGCACTCTGCCACTAAGCTACATTTCAGCCCTTTTTATTTATTTTTTTAATCTTGAGACAAAGTCTCACTAAATTGCCCAATCTCCCCTGGAATTTAAGGCTTCTCTTGCCTTAGCCTCTCAAGTAGCTGGAATTATAGACATGCACTGTGCACCTGGATTAGGTTGTTTTGTTGTTATTGCTGTTGTTGAGACAGGTCTCATTGTGTGGTTCAGACTGGCTTCAAACTTAACCCTGTTCCAGGCTGGACTGGAACTCATCCTGCTTCTCCAGCTCCTGAGGGCTGGAATTGCAGCCACTACACTCATCTGGTTCTTTCTCTTTCTCTCTCTCTTTCTTTCTTTCTCTCTCTTTCTTTTTACTCTTTCTCTCTGTCTCTTTCCCTCTCTCTCTCAGCCCTCTCTCTGCCTCTGTTTGTCTGTCAGTCTCTCCCCCACCCCTTGTAGTAAGGATTAATCCCAGGGCCTTTACACAGAGCTATGTCCCCAGTTCTTTTTTAAATTTTTTAAAAGTTGAGATAAGTTTTCACTGAGTCGCTAAGTTGCCCAGGTTGGGCTTGAATTTACGGTCCTCCTGTCTCAGTCTCTCAGAGTTCTAGGATTACAGTCATGTGCCACTGCACCTAGGTGGTGGTGGTGGTTTTAAATAAAGCTTATTTTTTACAGTCTTAGAAAAATTACAGAAGTAGTATAGTTTCCATAAACCCCACACTTATTTCTCTTTATTAATAAACTTCTCACAGCACTAAGAAAGATATGTTTGTTACACCTAATGAACCAACTGTGTAGTGTTGGGGATTGAACCAACTGCCTGGAACATGCTAAGCACAGATTTCAACACTAATGTCATCCCTGGCTCCAATGAACCAATGCTGGTACGTGATTATTAATGAAACTCCATTCTTTAGTCAGCTTTCTTTAGTCCCCTTTCCACAATGATATTCCAGAACAATCCAGCCCTAGTCCACGTGCTGTAAGACAGAAGAAAATCTAAGGCTACAGAGAGTGCAGTTTGTTGAGGGACTTCCTGAAGAAAGTGTAGTCCTGAGTGGTCAAAAGATCAGCTGGGTCCCTGCAGTTTAGATGGGAAGGAAGGGAGGATATTTGGATCTATGACAAAAGTAACTTCATACTAACTCTAATGTACCAGGTTTATCTTTCTTGTCTGTTTTCCGGGGCAGAGTCTATTTGTAGTTCAGGCTGGCCTTGAGCTCACTGTATAGCCCAGGCTGTCAAGTGTTGGAATTCCAGATGCACGACTACACCCAGCTGTACTGGGTTTAATTTAAAATAATATTAAAGAAGCAGGCACATGCCTGGGGTCTAGGTCCAGTTATAAAGTTCCACATACCACAGGAATGGTTTTGTCCATTTATAGCTCACTAGGAAACTATGCAAGAAAAAGTAAGGATTATTCCAGAGCAGTCATGGCAAGATATCTGCAGCCAGGCCAATCCTTTCCATTACTATACTGTGTTGAGTTGTCACACCTCCTCTTGGTTGTGATAACTTCTCAGACTTTTTGTTTTGAAAAACTAAACAAACAATTTTGAATAGTTAGTTGGGCATTTTGCAAAATGCTCCATATTGGAATTTGTGTGTCTCTCTTGTGATCATAGATTTTTGTTTGGTTAGTTGGTTTTGATTTTGTTGTGCTGAAGATTCCATCCCAGGGCCTTTACACATGCTAATACTGGTGCTGGTCTATCACTGAACTCTATCCTCAGCTCTTATTTTGAAACAGAGGCTCCTAAATTGCTCAGGCTGGCCTGGAATCTCTTTCCACTTTGCACTTTTGCTACCCAGTTTACTTGGGGTCTCTTCCTGCATTGCATACTGCTCTCCCCTCCTTTATCTCCAATCCCATTCTCAGAAGGCCATGGACTCCCTACTGACCTGGGAGTTTCTTGAGAAAGTGCTATGCAGGCACAAGCCAGCTCCAACCTCCAGCGCTGGGCTCACCTTACACTGCACAGGAGCTGAAAGTGGGAGCTGCAGGTCCCTGAGCACCTTCAGGGCAGTTCCCTCATTGTGTTTATGCTTTTTTCTCCAGTGCTCCGGGGGAGATCCCACCATTTAAATGCTGGGAGGAGGGAAGAGTGAGGAAGGCCTATGGTCACAGGAAGGGTGGAAAGCTGAAAAGAAGAGTCAGGAAAGCTGACTTTATTCTCTTTCCTATGCATGCAACCACTATATTACTGGTCAGAACCACTGTGGACTTGATACCACAGAAGAATCCAAGGGTTTAGTGAGTGGGAAAGCCATGAGGAGGCAAACCACACAGTACATGCTAACCACTTTTGCACTCGCAGGTACACAGATTCCACATAAACTGTGCGTTTACACATGAGGGTTAGCATTGGCAGGCTGAGGATTCCTGGAGCCAGGGCCTTGCTGAACCCTAGAGTACACATTGGAGTGGCAGGCACTTAGCTGAGGCATAAAGGGGAGGATGACAGGGGCAGGAGGAGAGGGACAGTCTTCTGGGCAGAGAGGAGCACAGCTGTGTTCACAGCCTTCTGGGAGGCAGTCAGCCTCCCCAGGATAGGTCAGGGTTGCCAGACGCTGCTGCACACACTCAGCTGTCAGCCGGGCTTCTGGGTCTGCATCCCAGCAGTCTTCTAGGAGCTCTCTCAGCCCACCGGGGTCCTGTTAGGAATGACCAGGAGGCAGGGTTGACCCTGGAATCTCTTTTTTTTCTTTTCCAATACTGGGAGTTGAACCCAGGGTCACTGTACTACTAAGCAACTCCCCAGCTCCTTTTTTCATTTGTTTGTTCAGTTGTTTTGTTTTTTTGAACTGGGGATCAAACTCAAGACTTCATGTTTGTCAAGCAGGCACTTACACCGCTGAGCTAAAACCCGGCCCCTTTTTTTTTGAGACAGGGTTTCACTATGTATTTCAGGTGGGCCTTGAACTCACTATGTAGCCCAGGTTGGCCTCAAGCTCATGAAAATCCTCCTGCCTCAGTCTTTTGAGTGCTGGGATATAGGTATGTACCACCATGCCTGGTCATCCCAGCCCTTTTATAAATATTTTATTTTGAGACAGCGTTTCCCAAACTGACCTAAAACTGCCAAGCCTCTTGCCTCAGCCTCCCGAATAGCTGGGATTATAGGTGTATACTACTGCACTCACCTAAACCCAGGATCTGGAGTGGACTCCAGCTTTAAGGGCATCTTCAGTGTTCACTACTCCTGGGTTTTGGTGGTTTGGGGTGGGTTTTGCTTCTTTTTCCCAGTACTGGGCTTGAGCCCATAGCCTTACACATGCTAAGCACATGCTCTATCACTGAGCTATCACAGCCTTGTTACTCCTGTTCCCAGCACTCTACTTCTGACTCTTCCTTGAGTCTCCTTCCCCTCCCCACCCTGAAATCCAGCCCTGAGGCTCATTCACTAGGAAGGGGGCTTCCTGAGTCCCTTGCATTGGGATCTGCCTTCTCCTTTGAGGAGCTAATTCAGGCTATTTAACATGCTACTGAAAAGTTACCCTCTGTTACAGCTTGTGTCTAGATGTCCCCCCAAAGCCTCATGAACTCATCGGCGGAGGTTTTCAGAACTGGCTGAATCTAGAGCACGTCATACTAGGATTAAGCCCCACATCCCAGCAGTCTTCTAGGAGCTGGGTGTAGGTGACACCAATCAATAAGCTTGAAACCTGTATGGAATGTAAAGGAACAGAAAAAGAAGGCTTTGCTGTTTCTTACCTGCTTTGCCATGCATTATTTGTCCTGTGCAGTGCCCCTCTGCCATGCCATGCTCTCTTGGAGCTAGCTGACTAGAGACTTAAACCTCCACAAACTGTGAGCTGAAATAAATTTCTTTTAATTTTTGGTGTACATTAGTGGGGCATGATGGTACACACCTGTACCAGCACTTGGGAGGCTGAGGCAGGAGGACTGCCAAAAGTTTGAGGTCATTCTCCTGGACTGCATAGTGAGTTCAAGGACTACCTGGACTACACAACAAGACCTTGTCTCAAAAAACAAAAAGAAAAAAAGAGAAATTATTTGTGCCACTGAACTTTGTGAGGCTTCTGATCTAACCCTTCATACATAGAACTAGTTTTAATGGTACTTCAGATTGAACCAAGAGGCTGCATCATGCTAGGTAAGCATTCTACCACCAAGCTACATTGCCAGCACCTTAAAAAAATTCTTTTAATTAGTTAATTTTGTTTTGGTTTGTTTTTTTGGTGTTTTTGTTTTGTTTTGTTTTGTTTTGTTTTTTTACCGGTACCAGAGATCAAACTCACGACCCCGTGCTTGTAAGGCAGGCACTTATGCCACTGAGCTAAATCCCCAGCTCTGATTTTTTTTTTTTTATGTGTGACAGAGTCTTATTATGTAGTCCAGGCTGGCCTTGAACTCACTGTGTAGCTTAGGCTGACTTGTGGCAATCTTCCTGCCTCAGCGTCCCAAGTGCTGGGATTTCAGGCATGTACCATCATGTTTCACTAAAAAAATTTTTTTTTCCTTTTTCTCTTTTTATCAGTACCAGGAATCAAACTCACGACTGCCTGCTTGCAAGGCAGGTGCTTATGCCGCTGAGCTAAATCCCCAGCCCCCATAAAATTTTTAATTAATTGCAATAGTGGTGATTGAATACAGGGAGTGCAGAGCTCTATCTCAAATCCTTTTTTTATTTTTATTTTACTTTTTGTGGTGCTGGGGTTGAACCCAAGCTTTCACACTGAGTTCATTTTTACTTTTTTTATTTTGGGACAGGTGCTTGCTGAGTAGAAAAGGAGCCTGGGCTGGGCTCAAATTTATCTTCTTGCCTCAGTCTCCAGAGAAGCTAGGGTTACAGACATGTTCCACTGCATCCAGCCTAGAACTGGCTTTACTTATATCACAGCAAAATGTAGTACTGAACAAGAAGTCCCTGGTTGAGTTTCTGGGCTTGGCTGTATCAGGAGAGGCACCATCGTGAGGACAGACCTCAGAGAAGGAACAATCAGGGAGGGTTTCCTGGAGGAGAGGACTAAGAAACTGGGCAAGTAATGGTGGGAGAGGACAGTCTGGTCAAGGCTGAGCAGGAAAGTGGGTGTGTCTGCTGCATGGAATGGGCATTGTGTGACTTAGGGAGAAAAGAGTGAAAAGAAGGCCAGTGTAGTTTCCCTACTTCCAGGAGTGGTAAAAGAAGGGAGGAGGCAGGAGTAGGTAAATTGACCCAGGCAGAGAGGTCTCTGAAGCCCATTAAATCTCTCCCTCTTTCTCTCTCTCTCTCTCACACACACACACACACACACACACACACACACACACACACACACACGCTGGCTCTTACCCTGATAGAGCAGCCCCAGGTGGATGGGATGTAGGGGCGCCTCCTCTGCTCTACTGCCAAGGCCCAGAGCTCACAGGTGGTGGGGGCACTGCCCAGCTCTGCCTCATAGGCCAGTTGGAAGGGTGGTGATCTGTGGTCTGTGGAGAGGCAGAGGACTAGGTGTCAGCTTGCCCCAGGGGTTGCCCCCCACATCAAGAAGCTAGAGACAAAAAAAAGAAAAAAATTTAAAAATAAAAGAAGAAGAAGAGGGGCTGGGGGTTTAGCTTAGCAGCATAAGCACCTGCCTTGCAAGCAGGCGGTCGTGAGTTCGATCCCCTGTACCAACAAAAATGAAAAAGACAAAAAAAAAAAAAAAAAAAAAGAAGAAGAAGAAGAAGAGGAGGAGGAAGAGGAGGAAGAGGAAGAGGAAGAGGAGGAGGAGGAGGAAGAAGAGGAAGAAGAAAAAGAAGTAGAAGCAGCAGCTAGAGAAGGTGACAGCCTCCTGGAAGCAAGTCAGGAGGTAAAGTGAGCCTAGAGTGGGTGGTCCCCCCTAGACAGGGGACTAGGGGCAGGGACTTTACCAGGGCTTAGATCTGGGCAGCGGCTCAGGATCTCCCATAGGAGCAGAGCTAGAGAGTAAACGTCTGCTCGCTGGAGGGCTGTGCCCCAGTCCTGTAAGTCCAGAGTCTTGTCCAAGAGCTCTGGTGCCATGTACCTATAGGTGCCAGCCTAGAGAGAAAGGTGTAGAGGACCATGAATCACCTCTGTGGTGACCGTCACTGCATCCTGGGTCCACACAATGCCCTCCCCACTACAGCATGGGCTCAGCAATGTCCCTGCAGTTACAGGCGCCGCTGCACTAGTGCAGATTGCCCCAGAAGCTCCACCATCATCCCTGCCCAACCACATCCAGAGTACTTACCTCCATGATGGCAGCTGGGCCTCGGGGTGGAGTAGGAGCCCAAGTGGGAGGCTGGGAAAGGCCAGGGAGCGCTAAGGCAAGGCCCAGATCTCCAATGACACATGACCGGTCTTCCCGAATGAGCACATTTTGGCTGCTCAGATCACGGTGGGCAATGCCTGGTTTATACTGGCCTGTGGGGAGATCCAAGGCTGCAGGCACTCGGGTCTTCTGCTCATTTTTGGACCTCATCCTTCCCTTCCAAGCTAAGGGAGAAGTAGACACACAGCCATTTGGCTCCTGAACCCCTTGGCTTCCTGCAGCCAGCTTACCCACCATGCTGCCAGCGCTCCTCATGCAGAAATGCCAGGCCCTTGGCCAGGGACAGTGCCATCCTCAAGGAACTTTCCCAGTCATTGGTGTGCTGGGTCAAGTAGTGGCACAGAGAGCCCTGGGGGAAAGCAGAGAGAAAAGGGACACACAAAACTAGAGGCCACTGATTTTGAGCCCAGAGAGCAAAGTTCACTAGATAGATTCTCCCCGTTCCCTTACCCATCCCCACAGACAGACATCCTGATTGATCCAGGTCAAGACAACTGACAGGGGAAGAGTAAGGAGGCACAACAGTCAGGTGGGTGGGAAAATAGTGACCCTAGGTCCATTGTCCCAGGCAGAAGCTGTGACCTACATTCTCTGCTTGCAGCCTTTTAGGTCTCTTCTTTTTTTAAATTAAAAAAAATTTTTTTTTGGTACCAGAAATCCAACTCATGATCTTACACTTGCCAGGAAGGCACTTATGCCACTGTGTTATAACATCAGCTTTTTTGTTTTGTTTTGTTTTGTTTTTTGGTGCCAGGGATTGAATTCATGACCTTGCACTTGTGCCGCTGAGCTAAATCCCTGGCCTTTCCTCCTCCTCCTTCCTCCTTCTTCTTCCTCCTCCTCTTCCTTCTCCTCCACTGCTGCTACTACTACTACTACTACTTTTTCTTCTTCTTCTTCTTCTTCTTCCTCTTCCTTTTCTTCTTCTTCTTCTTCTTCTTCTTCTTCTTCATCTTCTTCTTCTTCGACGGGATCTTGTCATGTATTTCGGTTGGCTTTGAACTCACTAACTCAATATGTAGTCCAGGCTGGCCTCAAAGTCCTGGCAGTCCTCCTGCCTCAGCCTCCTGAGTGCTAGGACTACCAACATGGACCATCACCTCCAGCTTTAACTTGATTCATTTCTGTGTCTCTTGCTGGTCTAGAAAACTTGTAAAGGCAGAGACTGTGTGTGATTTTCTCAGCATCTAGTGCAGTACCTGCCATATAGTTTGTAAATGTCTGTAAAGTGAACATATGAATGGTTGGAATGCTATACCTAGAGGTATAGGGTTTTTTTCCCTTTCTTCTTTGGGCAGTACTAGTGATTGAATTTAGCCCCTTCTCACTGATCTACATTCTCAGCACTTCTATATTTTATTTTGCTTTGAGACATAATCTCACTAAATTACTAAACTGTACAACCGGCTGGACTCAAATTTGAGATTCACCTGCACTACCCTCCTGGGATTATAGTATTGATCTGCTACACCCAGCCTTTACCTTTTTAAAATAACATTTGAAAATTCTGAGACAGGGTCTTGCTAAGAGTAAGTTGCCAAGGCTGATTTTTGTTTTGTTTTTTGAGACAGGATCTTGCTATGCAGTTCAGTTTGGCTTTAGTTTCACTACATAGCCCAGGGTAGCTTTGAACTCAAGGCTATGCTGCTCTCTCAGCCTCCTGAGTGCTAGGATTACAGGTATGTGCTACCTACCATGACTGACCTCCAGACTGATTTTTTTTTTTTTTCACTAGAGGTGGTTTGTTTGGTTGCTTTTTGAAACAAGTTATCACTATATACAATATTCTAGCCTGGCCTTGAACTTTCTACATATCCCAGGCTGGCCTTGAACTCATGATCCTTTTGCCTCTGCCTCTTGCATACTGGGATAACTGTCATGTACCATCACACCTGGCTTCATATTAATATTTATAATCTATAAAATGCAGATAATGGAAGTAGGACATGCGTGGGATGCTTGCAATCCCAGTACATGGGAGAGTGAGGCAGGAGGATCACCATAAATTTGAGGCTAGCCTGGGTTACATACTGAGACTCTGTCTCAAAAACCCAAACTTGTGGGGTTGGGGATTTAGCTCAGCGGCATAAAGCGCCTGCCTTGCAAGCAGGCAGTCGTGAGTTTGATCCATGGTATCAATAAAAAGGAAAAAGACCAAAAAAAAAAATAAAAACTTGGCAGGCATGGTGGCATACTCCTATAATCCCAGCACTTGGGAGGCTGAGACAAGAGGATTGTTGCAAGTTTGAGACCAACCTAGGCTGCAAGGTGAGCCCAAGGCCAAATTGAACTGCATAGTGAGACCTTGTCTCAAAAAGAAAAAACAAAAACAAAAACAAAAAACAACCAACCTAATAATAAAGGCTCAAAAAAAAAAAAAAAAAAAAAAAAAAAAAACAAACGATCCAGTGTGGTGAACACCTGTAATGTCAGCACTTAGGAGGCTGAGATAGGAAGATCTCTATGAATTTAAAGCCAGCCTTTGCTATATTGTGAGTTCAAGGCTAGCTGAGCTACATAGTGAGACCCTGTCTCAAAATAATAATAATAATAACAACATGAACTGAGCAAGTGGTAGTGCATGTATAATCTCAAATACTTGAAAAGTTGAGGAAGGGGCTCACTTGAGCCCAACAGTTTAGGGACCAGCCTGGAGAACACAATGCCACCTAAACTCAAAACAACAACAAACATGTATTGCTTCTATAATGAAAAAATTAGAAAACAATAAAAACTGGTTTAAGTGTCTAGAGAAGAGAAATCCTAAAGCAAAAAAATAAGTGTGGAATCTCTGTACTCAGGAGACTAAGACAGGACAATTACTGTGAGTTAAAGGCCAGCTGGACTACATAGATCCTGCCACAAACAAACAGCAAAAAAGAGTAAGTGTGGGTAGAGCCCCACCCTTATTTGCTCTAACAGGCATACACATAATATACATTCTTTACTCCTCACCTTAGGGTATAGTTCCAGTACCAGCAGGGGCCCAGGAGGTAGAGGGCCAGGGCCTCCCTGGCCAGCAGTGATAAATCGGACAATGTGGTCGTGCTGTAGGCCTGGAAGCTCGTACATTGCCTTCTCAGACCGGAATTGGGCCACAGCCCTTGGAGGGAAGGCCTTGATAGCTACCAGCTCACCCTGCAGCTGCCCGGCCCATACTACTGCATGACCTCCTTCCTGGATTACCTGGAGGGGACATTGTGCTAGGTACAGGCCTAGGAGGTGGACTAGGCTTCCCAGCACAACCTTAGCAGGGCCTAGAGGGTCCCTTCCTCCTGCCCTGGGGCACCTGTGTGAAACACAGCTGGGGAAGCTCCGGCAGCTCTTCACTCCAGTCTCTCTCTGAGTCAAATTCTGGCTCTGGGCCACCTTGCACACTGTGGGCCTTTCGTTGGAGTAGGGCTGGGTCAGAAAAGGACCTTCGGGTCAGAGTCCATAGGCATAGGGATGGGGAAGGGAACCATGGGCAGGGGGCTTTGAGCCAGGTAATGAGAGGCAGGCTGGGGGGGGGGAGGGTCCTGGAGAGGTGTCAGTATTTTGGGGCAGGATCTTGGTGTAACAAGGGAAAGGTGGGACAAATTAGTACCCAAGACAATACTGCCCAGCAGCAGCAGGAGGAGGAACAGCCCCAGGATCACCAGCGCCATCCAGATGGACTCACCTGGACATCAAAGCAAGAACACAGGTGGGAAGCACACTGTCACAAACAGCCTTTGGCCTCTCTCCCCTTCTCAGAGAGCTTGCTTTGCAACCACCCCCATTCTGGTCACAGCTGCCTTATCTCCTAGTCACCAGGCAACCAACTTCCCAAGGTCAGGAGGAGGAAAGCACAGGACGGGTGGAACAGGACGGGGGCAGGGTGAGAACCGGCCTTGATTCTCTCTCTCATTCTGGCTCCATCCCCTGGGCTCCAGCACCCCCACACCCCCACATCCTCCCCCCACAGGCAGCTACCTGGGGCAGCCTGGGAGCCAGGAGCCCCCAGGCTCCCTGGAGGAGGCAGGTGACTGTAATTGGCATTGCAGAGGTCAGCACCACAGGAGCAGGTGAAGAGAGTAAAGCCAGGGCCAGAGTGGGCTCGGGGTCTTGGGTCACAGTGGAGGGACTCACAGCCTGGCTCATCACTGTCTCGGCATCCTGACGGAACAGGATTAGGAGAGGAGGAGAGAAAGAGGGTGCAAGCACAATAGGGCCTGGGAACAGGGAGGACAAATCCCTTCTCTATCAGAGGCATCCCTTCCATCTCACAGGGCTTTCTCCCTGTTCCCTTTTCTCATATGTTCTGCTTTTCCCCTTGCCCCTTGGCTGCCACCCGTATACCCCAGGACATGTTTGTCTCCCACCCTGGCTATCACCTGCTGTGTACTTTGCCATTCACCTTGCATCTCCACCTGGGCCCGGCCTTGGGTCAGGTTCCAGATCCCAAAGCAGCAGCGGCTGTAGAGGCAGCGGATAACCCTGGGGGGCCCTGCTCCTGCATCTAGCAGCTCCCCCAGTGTCTTTGTGCTTCCCTGCACTCCAGGGGCCTCAAAGAACACACAGGTCCGCCTGTTTGGGGGTGCTGAGGCCCAAGATGAAAAGGGAGGATTCAAGAAGGGAGTGAATGCAGGGACAAAAATAGTAGTCTAAAGGATAGACGAAACATGGTTTTCATATCCCAGGGTCAGTAGTAAAGCCAGAGGAGGACGCCCAGATGCCCAGACCGCAGAGTAACTTGACCGCCCACCCCCGAAGACACATGGCTCTCTACCCTTCACCCTCATGCATCCAGCCTCACCACAGTTCCAAAGGGTGGCTGCTGCTTCACTGGGTGGAGAAACATCCTGCCCCTCCTTATGGATGCTTACCTTGCACAGATACAGGAAGCCAAGTCCAAAGCCCCAGTGTCCCCAGCATCCTGATGAAGGATGGCTGGAGGAGGAGGACCGGATAAACCAGGACAGCTGCCCCTGGCCAAAGCTTCTTCAGATACACGATACAATGGGGCTTCCAAGCCCAGTCCCCAACTCCACCCTCTCTGTCCTATCCCAGTTTCTGTGGGAGAGATGGCTGCTGTGGGGGAGAGGGTGGGTGTGAGGAAAACAGGGAAAGACAGGGAGGAGCAGAAAACCAATCTCATATCCTCCTCTCTTTAGCCACCTCCTCTTTTCTCTGCAGTGCAGGAGGAGGGGGCCTACAGGCTTTGTTTAGAATCTAGAGATATCTAACTTCAAATTTCTGCCCTTTGTTGACCTTAGAAGGAGGTGCTAGAAAGGAAAGTTAGGTCAAATGCTTTGAGACATTCAGCTCTGCCCAAGATCCCACTTTTTTTTTGAGGGGGAGGACCAAACATTGAAACAGGGTCTTGTATATAGCCCAGGCTGACCTCAAACTCATGAGAATCCTGCCTTAAGGGCTGGGGATTTAGCTCAGCAGCACACGCACCTGCCTTGCAAGCAGGCAGTCGTGAGTTCGATCCCTGGTACCGATAAAAAGGAAAAAGACAAAAAAAAAAAAAAAAAAAAAAAATCCTGCTTTAGCCTCCCAAGTGCTGAGATTACAGGTGCGTACTACCACACCTTGTCCAATATCTGTTGTAACACATACTACTCACGCCTCAGATCTGTAGCTCCCTGGGCAGGAGACTTCACAATCCATTCTAGAGTTGACTTCGTTTTCCAAACTCAAGAATCAGAAAGTATACACTTAATTTCTCAGAGTTTAACAAAAATCACATCGAAAATGGTTATAGAGTTAGGCATGGTGTCACATGCTTGTAATCCCAGCACTCACTTGGGAGGGATGAGGCAAGAGGATCACCATGGGTTTGAGATCAGCCTGGGCTACAGAGTGAGATTCTGTCTCAAAGGAAAAAAAGTTACAATGGCAAATTTTTTCATGTATATTTTACCATAATCATAATAAAAACAGCTGGACATAAACCTCAGTGGTACAGCAACTCCCAGTACCACAAAACGAAGACACACTGAGCAAAACGAAGACACACCATTATTGAGGTTATAACAACTCTTTATTGAGCACCTAGTGTGTTCTAGGGCACATCCAGGGTTATGCATTTTACAGTTATCTACTTCTCCCAATGAGGCATTTATCTTACAGATAAGAAAACTCAGGTTAGGTAAATCGCCTAAGGTCATTCTGATAGAAAATAGCTGAGGTGTGACTTGAACCTGGATAAATTTAATTCCAAAACCCTGGATGTGTTCTCACAATGCTACCTGAAAAAAAATACAAAATCCAGCAATGAAAAATATTTTCATTTAATACAATATTCAAATTTGAATTTGTATCCTTGACAAAATATAAAGGATTATCTGCCAGCAGACCACTTATTAGAAAGGAAGCACACAGTTCAAATTTTCACCACCAGGGGTCAGCAGATATAGGAACTCGGGTTGTGGCAAAGGGCAGGAAAAAACGCCTCCTCTGATGACTGATACACATAGTATACCTCCTATTAAGCATTTTTTTCCTAGTAAGTATTAAATTGCAGGGCTATAAAATGTGAAAGGCGGGCATAGGGTGTGTAAAGGGCACATTAGCACGCAGATGGAAGAAAGGCTATGGTTTGCATTGCAATAGAGACAGAAACCCAACTCCGCCAGATTCTGCCCCAGAGTAAGAAACCATAGTTATTTCCACCTCTGTGAGCAGCTGGTTCCCATAAAAATTAGAGTTCTGTGTTTTCCTAGCTTTCTGTCCCTCTAGCGGCTACCTGGAAACCTTTCTCAGAATGATCTGGTTTGGGCCTGGGATGAAAGTCTGAGGACTACACTGAGTCTGATGCTGGATTTTTTCTCCTGGGGAGTCTGCATGAAAGGAGGAAAGAAAGAGAGCTCCAATAGTTGTAAACAGCAGCTGGAAGAATGACTGGAGCTAGAGACAGCTACCCATCCTTCCTGCAGGGCCATGCCTGGGTCGGAATGTGGTGCTTCCTTCACCAGCTCTCAGATCAGATAAATCTAGGGTGGTGGTGATGGGGGAGCTGAAGATGAAATAGCTTTTTTGTCTGGAATGTCTCAAGAGACTGTCTCCTTTAGAGTGGGAGCAGGGTTAGGCTGAAGCAAAAAGGCAGGGTCACCTCAGCAAAAGCTTTGAATAGCTACTCCTTTGGATGATGGAAACAATCCAGTCAGGTTAAGGGGAACTGCTCTGCACAGTTAGGGTTTAGAGTAGGAATGGTAGGTTTGGGGCCTCTGTGCCACTCTGTGGCAAAGTGCTCCCCTAAAAACATATGAGGTCCTGGGTTCAATTCCCCAGCACTACATAGAGTAACAATCTGAGAATTGAAGGATTAGGAAGGTCCTGAAAGAGAACCACAGCTTAGAAGGAAGAAAAATGTGACTAGATTCTACATACACAGTGACTTTCATGAGGGCCCCTAATTCAAGTCAGCAGGGACCCAATGATTTACCTTTGATCCTGCTGGCTGCAGAGCTAAAATAAATTCTTTATTCAGTTAATTCAGCAAATATCTATTGGATCCCAGTCTGACAAATGTATTTTGTTAGATGCTGGACTTTCAAAGATAGAAATTATTTCTGCCTTCCAAGATCTTGTAAGTTAGAGAGGCAGCCTGGTGTGGTGGCACAGGCCTATAATCCCAGCACTCAGGAGGCTTCAGCCTAGGGCACATAGTGACTATAGTGAGTTCAAGGCCACAGAGCAAGACCTCATCTACAAAAAGAAGGAGGAGGAGGAGAACGAGGAGGAGGAGGAGGAAGAGAAAGAAGAATAAAAACATATATCAATAAGCAACCAGAAAATTATGTGTCCTACTAGGGATATGAACAAAAACTATACAGGAAGAAAACTCATATAAGCTAATTATGTCTAAGACATAGAAGATAAGGGAAGAAAGATACCAGGAATACTTTAGAAAGAATGGATATTTAAACCAGGCATGGTGGCACACACCTGTAGTCCCAGCACTTGGGTGGTTGAGGCAGGAGGATCACTGTAAATTTGAGACTAGCTTGGGTTACAATATGAGTTCAAGTCCAACCTAAACTGCACAGCCAGATTTTGTCTAAAAAAAAAAAAAAGATATTTAAATCATCTCACATAATGATTTTAAGAGGAGGTGGTGGTTTTAAGCAAAGGGGACGGTAAGAGTTAAGGCATAGAGAGGTAAATGCAAAGCATGTATGTTGGGCAGTGAGGGGGTGAGGAGGAAATAATAATGGGATATGAGAAAGGAAATCACCATAAAGATAAACTGGGACCAAATTAGAAAGGTTTCCAATTCTAAACCAAGAGGCTTAGAACTTTCCCAAAAGCAAAGGATTTTAGGCAGGGACCGTGGGGCAGTATAAAAGATGGACAGCTGGGTTTTAGGGAGATTAATTACAAGACCTGACCAATAACCATAGTACATGGGACAGTGGGAGAAAAGGATGAAACCAGGCATGTTCCCAGCTACTCAAGGCTAAGACAGGAAGACTTAAGTCCAGGAGTTCAAGATCAGCCTGGGTTTGCTCTTTTTGACAGAAAAAAAAAAAAAAAAAATAGACAAAAAATTTGAAATGCATTTTACAGGTAATATCGATGGACTGGTAATTGAAATGAATGTTGATAGGCAAGAGAGTAAAAGATGATTCTTAGGCTTCAAGCATGACTGATCAAGGGGTAGGCAATATTGTTAAGAGAGATGTGGAACAGAAAGAATTATTTCCCTTCTAATATGGTTTTTTTTTTTTTTTTTTTTGACTGGGAATTGAACTCAGGGCCTTCCCACTGTAATAAATCTCAGTTTTGGTTTATTTTTTTATTTTTGGTACGGGGGACTGAATTCACAACTTCATGCTTGCCAGGCAGGCACTTAAGCTTGCTGAGCTAAATCTTTTTTTTTTTGAAGACATGCTCTTGCTAAATTGTCTACACTGGTATTGAATTTGTGATCCTCCTGCTCAAGTCTCCCAGAGACTGGTTTACAGGGATGTGCCTTCACCTTGTTTTGCTTCTTACATTCAATTTAATTTAGTGTCCCATACAAATTTAACTTAGTACTTCATACATAGTAAAGTCTCAATAAATGTTATGTAAATGAATGGATGATGCAATGATTAGGAACTTAGCATGCAAAAAGAAAACCACACACACACACACACACACACACACACACATAGTAGAGGAGTAATTTTCAATAAGAAGTAAATTCTCAAATAAAATCAAATATTAAAATGTTATATTGATGGAGTTAGAGGTGATAGTGTACAACTGTAATCTCAATACTCAGGAGGCTGAGACAGGAAGATCACTTCAAGTTTGAAGTCAGTCTGGGGGATACATAATGAGCTCAAGGCTAGCCTGAACTAAATAGCAGATCCTGTCTCAAAATATAACATTTTTTAAAGCCTTTTTGCTGATGGATATAAGATTATCAAGCCAGGCATGATGTCATGTACCTGTAAACAAATGACCAAGATTTCTCTGTTAGAAAAAAAGTGAAACCATAGCTTGATGGGGAATGAGGAAAGCTGTCAGAATAACTTAAACTCAGAAGAGGCTTGAATTCAAATTTAATGTTAGAGACTGGTATTAAGCATAAAGTATGTTGGTGCTAGATATTGGCTTCTAAATGTCATTACTCCAATAAAAGAAACTAAAGGCTCCTAGGGCTTGGACAGGGAAAATACAAGAGAATCAGAAACATCTTATATATTAGAAAGCAAGAATATAGCAGGGCATAGTGGCACTTGACTGAAATACTAGCTACTTGGAAGGCTGAGGCAAGATCATAAATTCAAGATCTGTCTGAGCCATTGAGTGAGACTCGAATTGTCTCAGGAACTGGGGGAACATAACAAATACAACACATGCAGTGTTGTACCCTAGAATGTATCCTGAAAGAAAAAGAAGTCATAACCAGACATAAAGGCTAAGGATGTAGCCCAAGTAGTAGAGTACCCTTGGGTTTGATCCTCAGTACCACAAAACAATACAAGAAAGTGCTCAAAAAGGCCAGGGATTTAGCTCAGCAGCATAAACGCCTATCTAGCAAGCTCAAGGTTGTGAGTTTGATCCCTGGCACGGAAAAAGAAAGTGCTCAAAAACCAAAGCAAGAGCCACACATGGTGGCACACACCTGTAATCCCAGCATTCCAAAGGCTAAGGCAGGAGGATCACAAATTCAAGGTTGGCATAGGCTACAGTGAGTTCAAGGTCACCTTGAACTGCATAGAGAGACCTTGTCTCAAAAAAACCCAGCCAACCAAAAGGAAGCGATGTGTGGTGGTATATGTTTGTAATAACAGCATTCAAGAGGTTGAAGCAGGAGTTTAATTTTGAAGCCAGCCTGGATTAGTGAAATCTTCTCAGGAAAAAAAAAAAAAAAGCAAGAGATAAAGGATGTATACATACTGTAGATAGCAGAGGAATACAGGAGTCAACCTAAAAGAGCCCATTATCCAAATTTGGTGACAAATTGAATGACAAAGTAATGTATTAGATTATAACCCGAGTGAAATAAATACCCATTAACATACAAATATAAATAACAGACTAAATAAATGGGAAGAGATAAAAATTCCTTACAGAATTCCAAATACTAGATGTATACTATTCTCTTTAGAATGTGAAGTTTAATTCCCATCAATCCCATTCAGGTTTGTCTAGATTTACTAATTCACTAAGAGTAGGGAAAGAGAAAAATATTAACTTTCTAGTGGAGAAATCTAGCAACACTAACATTGTAATATCATGTGGATATCATACAGCTTCAGATAGGGTTCCATGAGATGGGTACTCTTTTATCTCTGTTGTGTTCTTTAAAACAACAGCAACAACAACAACAACAAAAATAGTGAAGGTATGGCTGCACACACCTGTAATCCCAGCACTCACTTGAGAGCCTGAAGCAGGAGGATCACTACAAATTAAAGGCCAATCTGGGCTACAAAGTGAGATGAAGGTCAACCTGAACTGCAGAGCAAGACCCTGTTTCGAAAAGACCAAAAAAAAAAAAAAAGCCAGTCTGGACTACATAGTGAGTTCAAAGCCAGTTTAAACTATACAGTGAGATCCTGCTTACAAAAACCAACCAACAAACAAACCAAAAGCTAAATCTGACATTGCACAGACATCAGATAAACCCAGATTCCCTTCCCATCCCTGATGCAGCCAGGTTTTTTATACAGGAGTGGCCTCTAACTCACAATCCTCCTGCCTCAGCCTCTCAAGTGCTGGGATTACAGGCTTCAGCCACCATGCCGTTAAGTCTAGGGGCTGTTCTACAGGTTATTTGGCCAATATTCCCAGGTCATCTAAGTCATTAAAAAAAAAAGGAAAAAGAATTGACGTTTTATATACACATACCAACTCCCCAAGAATGTAATCATTATGTATGGCAAACACGTACTACTGAAAATTTCTATTTTTAAAAAATAGTTTCAGAAAAAGGAAAGACTAACAGTCCCAGAGGAATTGGGAAAACATGACAAGTATATGCAGTGCAGTACCCTGGAATGTATCCTGGAAGAGAAAGAGGACATAAACGGAAAAATCTGAGAAACTCATAGTCTGGAGATTAGCTCATGTACCAATGTCAGCTTCTTTGACAGTGTACTGTGGTTAACACATGAAGAAGTGAGAAAACTGGATAAGGGTTCATGGAAACTCTCAATACTATCTTTTAAACTTTTCTAAACCTAAAAATTACCCCTTCCCCTAAAAGAAGGAAAAAAATACTCCAAAACAAAAAGTGTATTTTTAAAAACGTTTAGGCTGTCCCTGATCCTCCTGGACCTTTTTTTGTTGTTGTTGTTTTTCCTTTTTTCCTGGGTATCGTAGCTGGGATCAAACGCAGGGCCTGTCACTAAGCTATGCTCCCAGGTATTTTTTGCCCTTTTCTTACAATACTGAAAATCGGACCCAGGACCTTCACACTAAGCTATTATCTCCATCCTACACTTTTTGACACAGACACTTTTGTCTCTAAATTGCTCAGGCTGGGCTGGAACTTCCAATCTTCTTGCCTCAGCCTCCCAGAGTGCTGGGAATATACCTCACCATGGCCAGCTGGCCTCCCACATTGCTATATAGTCATGACATACTGATCTGATCATAATAACTACTTGGGGTTAAAGTGGAGATTAATTGCACTAATTAACATATATGAGAACAGTGTAGTGCATGGATGGGAACCTCTACTGGGTTCACAGGGAGAAGTTATAACTATATATTCCCCATTCCCAACCCTCTCAATACACCAGAGACATGGCTTTTTATTAAAAAAAATTTTAATTGGTTTACAAAGGAGCTACAGACTACATTGAAACTAGTCTTTGTACAAAAGGCCCCCCAAGAGCGCCCAAACACCCAGAAACAAAAGATTGTGAGAGAAACAAGACAGACAGACACAAAAAGAACAGGAAAAAACTGAAGAGACAAGAGATTAGCATCATACATACACAAGACTAAGGGGAGAAAAGAGCAAAGATGGGAGCATTTATTTATCCACACAGCCCTGGTGGTAACTAGAGTGGAACCAACAAACACAGCATGAGATTATTAAGAGGCTGAAAGGCAACAGTGGTATGGAGACTGGTTATTGCCAGTGTTAAGGAAACATTTTTAGGCACCAGAAATTGGAGCACCACCCCTTGCCCCAGAAGGATGACAGACTTGGGAAGAGAAGGCAGGCCCCAGGGCAGCTACCATCAGTGTGTGTAGAATAGGTCTCTCCCCTCAAACCAATCTCATCATATTCTCCCCGTAGTCTTTGTACCCTAGACTCTTAAGGACCACAGGATGTCATCGGAGAAAGGGATGATCAGAAATATGAAAAGCTACCCTTGCCCACATTGTTCAAGAGCAGTTATTTACAAGGAAAGGTGGGTAAACGAAGCCCATTCCCCTATGGAGAAGGCACAGTGTGATTACTGAAGGCAAGAAATAGGAAACCCGCACACACCAGGGGTGAGGGTCAGGTGTATCAACAAAATTCTTACTTCCTACAGCCCAGTCTAACCCTATTTCTCTCACTTTTTTCTGACACTGAGTTGGAGCTTAGGAGAGTTGGGAGACAGATCATGGCACCTCTGCTCCCTAAACCAAGACAAGGAAGGTAGGGCTATTTGCTAACAAGGTAGGAGCAAATGGGGGAAAAGTACTTTCTCTTAAATGTTGTGGAGAAAATCCTTTTGGGTTTGGAAAAGTCAAGAGGGGAGAAGACCAAGGAGAGGAACAAAGCCAGGGACTCCCATTTTCTTTTCCCAGTCTTCAGTCTAAGGCGAGCAAGCCAACTGTGGAAGAGGGAGTAAAAATTTAAGCTTAAGGCTGCTTAATGTCTTCCTGGGGGCGGGTGTTTACAGAAGGCAGACAAAAGGAATAGGTCAATCTCAAAGCTGGTCTGTTCATCCTCCTAGAAGTCTGTACCCCCGGAGTAGTGCCAAGAGAGGCACCAGAGAGAACAGTCTCCCAAATAAAATAACCTGTCCATTTTTTATCAGCACTTTTCAAAAGCTAAGTTTTCCGGAGTTGGAGAAGTGCCATATCCGCTCCTCCCTTTCCCCAAAGCTACTGCTGCCACCTTTCATCCTTATGCGTAAGTTATTGGCTGTCTTCTAAAGGAAGATGAAGATTTGAGATTTCACGTTTCTCTTCCTAACCTCAAGAGGGTACCCAGTTTGGGCTAGGGGGAGAAAGCTATGCAAAGAGCCTCTCATTAGAGGTAGCCCGACTGTTCTCATTTCCTTGGTACCTATCTCTAAACCCTTCTGATCCCAAGGTCCAAAAAGGCATCAGGGTATTTACAGCTGAATGAAAATAGCATATAGCACCAGGGCTCCCCTCAAGCTAAATGGGGCTTGATTAGCACCCCCAGAACCCCTTAAAAAGTATGTAAATGTATTGCGTCCTAGCAAAGATCTGCAGCTTCCAGTATTCACACAATGTGAACATATTAACAATACAAAATATATTCTGAAAGTCAAACACCTGCAGTTCATAGTGCTTTCTCAGATTTGTTAAAAAAATACAACGCTTAGTTTCCTATATAGGATGTACAAAAGCAAAAAAATATATATATATATGTGTATAGTAGAAATAAATCAGCCATATTAATTTACAGCTTTTGTCTCCAACCCTCCCCCAATCATAATCTTTATCCCATACTTTAGTCTTTATGTTTCTGGGATCAAAGGTTCTATTTATTCTGAAATCAGGCTGAGAAATATTCATTAAATTGTACAGCACCCACAGAATGCCAGCCAGGAAGTCCCTGAAGGAAAATGGTGTTGGTTGTTCTTTGTGTAAAAGTTAGAGGGTCAGATGTTAAGCAGATAAATGTGAATGGGCATCCTGAAATGACAAGGAAATGAATGTTGTAGTATTACTATTCCTGGCCATCACCCACCCTGCAAGCTTTGCTCATTAAAACATTTTTTAAAACTTGTGAAAAAAAATTTTTCAGAATCAATGTGTATCAGCTACATCACTTTCTGATGGCCAAAGAGGTTCAGGAAAAGGAGATTTTCAGTAATAGGCTCCTCCTGACTCAAGGAATATAGTCTCCTAACTTCCCATGGGAAAGACTGAGTGACTCACTGCTGCTGATACAGAAATGGAAGAAGCTGCTTCCATTTGGGGGCTAAAGAAGATACTGAATCTGGAGTTTCCTTTATAGAAAAGAACTGTAGATACAGTAAATTCACTTACGGTCAGGCCAATGAAGGAGTGCGGAGAATAAACCAGCAGCTTTTCACTCAAACACTATCAAATAAGGTTATATAAAAGCTTACAGTTCTCAGCATCATTAAGTTGCTCTGTATCTAATAATTTCATACTGCAGAAGATTCTTTTAAACATTCTAGAAAATACTGCCATTCCAGTGAGTCATCCTGCCCTGTTCCTCCAAAAGATGTCAAAATACATGATTACAGACATAAAATAACGATTTCTGAGTTCTTATTACAGTGGAATAAGGGTGGGATGGTGGCTGGGCACTGGTGACTTTTATTTCATCATTAATAGAAATTGATCTGGGGAAAGTTTCTTTGCAATAATTCCTGAGTGTTGAAAACAGTATTACATCTGCAGAGAAAGGACCAAGTGGCATGGCTATTGTTAACAGCTATGTATATTTCAGGTTGACATCAATACAAACTTACCCAAAACTTAATTTGGTTGGATTTTATATAAAAGGTATAGTAGAACCACAGCATCATCTCTTTGTAGCCAAAATAAAAGCCTTTAGAACAAGGACTCTGCTATATATCTGGATGTTCATTTTACTTTCAAACACAAAAATAGTTTCTTCTTCAGAAAGTGCAATAGAATATCCCCCATTCATAATTGCAAGTGTTTTACCATAAGCAGAGAAATGACCTCAGGAACATACCTAGGTTTTAAGAAACTTCTAGGTAATGGCCTAAAGTCATTTTGATCTGAATTTATTTTCTAACAATTTCAAATATAATTTCTCATCTGTACGCAGATATATACAGGCACAAACATACATTCATTCACACACACTGTCATGCACAAACACTTCACTTTCTGTCAGATCAGGGTAATTTTTATTGCAGGTCTCTCTTACTATTGGCTAACAGAAAACCTATCCCCAACCTAACAGATTACACACATCCACACAGCCATTTCCACACTTCCTCACAGTGAAAAGCTCTCTAACAAGATACCAGTAAATCAAGAGAGACAATGTTTTTAATGGCTGGGCCTTGAGGACAATTCTGGTTTCATTTAAATCTCAGTATCAAATGCACTGAGAGTTCCCTGCCGCTACAATTTTTGAATCAGTCTCTTCTGGAATCAGAACATGGAGAAAGCAAGATGATTTCTCCCAATCTCTCCTATAAACCACAGTGGTAAGACAAGATTTCTTTTTGTTCTGGGCTATCATTCCCATGATCATGTGCTTCCTTTTCCCTTAGGAAACACCCAAGTACATACAAGGAAGAGTTACAGGAGGAAAAAAAAAAAAAATCAAAAAACCACTGTCTTGCCATTAGCAATGCTCTGGAGTTCTGCAGAATGGAAACCTCAAACAGATCCACTGACTGATGCTCTTCAACAATTGAAAAGAAACTACTGGGGATGTTCAAAAGAGGAAGTATACTTTCTTTCAAAGTGTGTTAACTCAGAAGCCCATTTGTCAAGGCTTAGAGCTACCTTGGAAGACTATGGTAACAAAGTCTAAATACTCCAGTTACTCCTGCACCCAACTACCAGTGACTTCCTCTTCTGAGCATATCTTTTTCTCACTTTAAGCCCTTACCTATTTGACCATTTTTTGATAGTTTATACAAACAGATCCGAGATTGTTTTCTTCAAAGGAACTCTTGGACATTTCTACAGAAAGACATCTAATACTTGATGCTTACAGAAGCTCATGAAGGGCGATGCCTTTGACTCTCCAGCACCAAGGTGCCTGCGTCGTTAGTATTTTAAACATTCCCCCCACAGCTATTTCAAGCACCAGGCTGGGCTTCAAGGTTTTCCACTCTGCTGCTGGGACTAAGGTCTTACAAAGACTGACAGAAGTGCCTTATCCAGGGATCACTGCCAAAAACAAAACATGAAGTGATTAGTGAAAGAAGGGAAGACAGAAAGGATTGAGCCAGGAAAGGAGTACAAGAAGCTGATCCCAAATAAAAAGACAAAATTAAGAAAGGAAAATCATTATGTATGTACTGTATATATAAACTAAAAGCACAGCATATGAATGCTTACTCTGGTGGGAAGCCAAGACAACATCTAGAGAAAAGCCTGATGTGTCACAACAAGGCTCAGCCATAGGGAAATAAGGCAATATATATATATTTTAAAAAAAAATGACCAAAGTATTTTGATCACAGAATGGTCTCCTTCCTCCTCCCAGCCAACCCCTCTGAATGCATCTCAATATATCTTTATATATATATATATATATATAATATAGAATCTGTTTTTTGTTAAAAAGTATTTCAATGATCATATATATTTATCAAGGCATGATGGCTTTAGGAAAGGGAAAATCCACCATGGGAGAGCTGAGAAGGGGAAACATAGGAAGGGGAGGCTAGGGTAAGAAGTATAAGAAGAAACCGGGATCAAATGAATGCTCATCAAAGGATGGCACCAACAGAATTTTCACTAATATTTCCCACCTTCAAGGAGGCACTGATGATATAGTTGGGTTCTAGGACCCCATCTCTTCTCTTGTATTTCTCCCCCAATTCCCACCACCATGGATTTTAATGCCTCATGGCTCTCTTTCCCACACGTCTCTTGGACCCATGCTAACTTGCATCCCAACGTTGATGGGTATTAGCCCATAATGTCTCTTGCCCTGGTGCTTCATTTCAGAAGCCATTGCCGCTGATATTAATGGACTGCAGATCTGCGACCTGCATGACATTGATGCCACTGTTGGCAAGACGAGCAATACCCTCTGGACAGATGGCTTCCATGGCTACCATGTTGGTGGTAATAAGAGCTGAAGGAGTAGCAGTGCCACTGCCTTCTGAACCTGTTCCACTGTCCAGGGGCAAAGTGCCCACACTCAGGGCTACACCTGGGCCTCCTTTTTTATTCTGATGGGTCTTGATATGTTTTGACAGGTGATCACTCCTCATGAAGCGCTTAGGACACTCAGGACAAGCAAACTTCTTCTCACCTAGAAAGAGAAAGAAGGTAAGAAGCTGACATGCCAGGAAGTGGGAAACCTGTCTAATGTACCACCTTCCAACTACATTATCAGAAGGTGATAAGAACAAGAGCAATCTGGTTAATTCCTTTTTTTGGTGGGGGGAGAACAACTCAGATAAAGGTTGGGGAACATGCTGTAAGGACAGCAGAACTTTGCAGAAAAGTAGGCAGGACAGAGACTAAGAAAAGTAATGGGGTCATTAGCCCTCCTTAAAACCTGGCTCCTTCCTTGTTATTTCTCTTTTCCCTGCTCTTTTGCTCACCGGTGTGTGTGCGCTTGTGTCTCTGTAGCTCATCCGAACGTGTGAACCGTTTCCCACAATATGACCAGGTACACATGAATGGCCTCTCGCCTGTATGCCAACGCAAATGTGCCCGCAGATGTGAAGTCTTGCCGTACACTTTGCCACAGCCTTGGATGTGGCAAATATGCTGCTTCTTTTTGCCAGGATCCCCAGAACCCCTAAAAGTTACAACACACTGTTACTCAATCTGGAAAGAGAAATTAAAGAACCACAACGTATCAATAGTAATTACTTAATCCACTCAAAACTAACCTAATCTTTAATTTTTCCAGTACTCGGAAGGGTATCCAGGGATCATGCACACTACATAAATGCTCTACCACTGAGCTATGACCACGATCTCAGACTCTCAACTTGCTTACTCCTTGTTTCCTTCCTCCCTCTTTCCCTCCCTCCATTTTTTGAGACAGAGTTTCACTATGTAGTTCATTTTTGCCCTAAACTCACTATGTAGTCCAGGCTGGGGTTGAACTCTTTATTCTTTTTTGATTTTTGAGATAGGGTCTTACTAAATTGTTCAGGCTGGCCCTGAGCTTACTATGTACCTCAGACTGGTCTCAATTGTGGTGATCCTCCTGCCTCTCCTTCTTGAGTAGGGGATTTACTGGCATGTGCCAGCACACTTGGCTGGGGCTTTGATCCTCCTACCTCAACCTCCTGAAACCTGGAGTCACAGGTGTATATCACCATGCCCAGGTCCCAAACTTACATTAATTAATTAACTTACTTATTGGTTGATTGGGGGTTTTTTTAGAGACAAGATCTCACTTTATAGTATAGGCTGGCCTTGAATTTGTGGGGGATCTTCCTGTTTTACCACCCAAGTGCTGGGATTACAGGCACATGCCATCATACCCAACAAATAAATCTTCTTTAAAATAAATAAGTTTGTGCCTGGCACAGTGGTACATGCCTGTAATCCAAGCACTCAAGAGGCTGAAACAGAAAGATCTCTCTGTGAGTTTGAGGCCAGCCTAAACTATATAGCCAGACCCTGTCTCAAAAAATTCAAACCAAGGACAGGGGATTTAGCTCAGCGGCATAAGCACCTGTCTTCCAAGTGTGTGGTCTTGAGTTTGATCCCTGGTTAAAAAAAAAAAAAAAAAAAAAAAAAACACCAAAGAAACAAAGGACACATTTGTAGCTGATTCTAATTCCAATTTTTTGGGGGGGGCCATATTGGGGATCAATCTGGGCCTACATTTCCAGTCCTTTATTTTGGTTAATTCCCCAAACTCTAGGTTTCCTCTCTATTGTTCTCCTGCCCTTAATGAGTCATATAGTGACTTGGAAAGTTTCGAAGTATGTTTTTGTATTTTTCTCAGATGTTTTACTTCCATCCAACTTTTTTCCAAAAGAAATAATGACATTGGGCTGAGGATTTAGCTCAGTGGCATAAGTACCTGCCTTGCAAGCAGGCAGCCATGAGTTCAATCCCTGGTACCGGTAAAAATAAAAAAAAAAAGAAACAATGACATAGGGGGCTGGGGATTTAGCTCAGCGGCATAAGCGCCTGCCTTGCAAGTAGACAGTCATGAGTTCGACCTGGTACCGGTAAAAAAGGAAAAAGACGACACCAAAAAAAAGAAACAATGACATGGAGACATGGAGATATATCTTTTTTTTTTTTTTTTTGGTCTTTTTCTTTTTTTATTGGTACCGGGGATCGAACTCACGACTGCCTGCTTGCAAGGCAGGCGCTTATGATGCTGAGCTAAATCCCCAGCCCCCTACATGGTGATATTTCTTCCTTTCCTTTCTTTCTGCTTCTCTCTTTTTACAGTAATAGGGATTGAGCCTAGAGACTTTCCACTAAACTAATCCCGAATCTTTTTTTTTTTCAGGTAGGTCTCACTAAATTGCTATATCTGGGCTGGGACTTTATTTGAGACAGAGTCTCACTATGTAGTGCAGGCTGTCCTCAAATTTTTGAGAATCTTCCAGGCTCAGCCTTCTGAGTGCTGGGATCACAGATGTGCGCTGTCACACCCAGCTAGAATTTGTGATCCTTCTGCCTCAGTTTTCCAAAGTGCTGGAATTATAAGTATGTACCACTTCACAAGATGACATGGTGAAATTGTTGGCTAGAGACTTACTGAATGAACACAGGATCTATCCTTTTAAAGACTGATAGAGAATCTTAAAATAAAATATAGTATGAGTATTTTATAATATGAAAACTTTTCAGCCAGGCATGATGGCACACACCTGTAATCCTAGCACTTTGGAAGCTGAGGCAAGAAGATTGTTGAGAGTTCAAGACCAGCCTGGGTTACAAAGTTCAGGGCCAGCCTGAAACATATAGCAAGATCCAGTCTTAAAAAGCCAAAAAAAATAAATAAAATTTTTCTATTAGATTAAGAGTCAATAGTCTTATGTTACAGATTAAAAGATGAGTAGCTACAGCAGTCTCACAGATGCAAGAATGGACTGGATAAACATTAAGAGAACAGTCAGTTTGATGGCATATATCTGCAGTCTCAGCTAACCAAGAGGATGAGGCACTGAGCCCTGAAGTTTTAGGCCAGCCTGGGTAATATAGCAAGATCCTATCTCAAAAAAAAAAAAAAAAAAGAAAGAAAAGAAAAGAAAGAACTGGGGTGGAGTGACAAGGATCTTAATTAAATGAAGGGGGGAAAAAAAGAATTCTTATACAAAGCAGATCCCAAGCTCCTCTGAGGTATCAATTCTCAAAATGTTTAGTTGACAAACCAATTTCTTCTATGTGTCATCCCCAGTGGACACTGGAGAAATACCAAGAAGGAATTTTCTTGGGTTTTAACAACACATGTAAGTAGTACATATGAGCAGAGAAAAAAATGTAACAGAAGTGAAGTTATACTTAGGTAGAATCGAGAACTTCCTTCAAAAATGAGCACTTGCCACTTGAAGCTTTGTTAAGAGCTACACGTACTATACTCAGTGCTTCTCACTTCACATCTCATTGCTTTTCCTATGTGACACAGGATAACCTGTTATTAAACTCAAATTATTTTCTTTTTTGGTATTTTTTCTGCTTTTCTACTTTTGTGCTTATTTTATTGAGACACCACCCAATTTTTTCAAAGGCACTTAAAAGACTAAGTGACTTTCCTACTCTTTAAAAAACTTTTCCTCTTTCCTCCTTTTTTTCTTGTCTTTTTGAGACAGGGTTTTGCTATGCAGTTCAGGTTGGCTTTGAACATACTTTGTAGCCCATGCTGGTCTCAAACTTGCAGCAATCATCCTGCCTCCACCTCTTGAGCACTAGGATTACAGGCATGCACACACCACCATGCCCAGCTCTACTCTGTTTCAAAAGCAGTGGCTTCAAGGAAAAGAATATAACTTGCCAGAGATAAACAACAGGTGCAATTAATGAAAAGTCTGTCAGAACTCTGCTCTGTAGGACAGTTTAGAACTACAGTAAGCATTATTACTGTGTGCGTGTGAGGCTAAACCAAGGTATGCTCTACCACAAAGCTACATCCCTAGCCAATCCTCACTTCCTCTCTTCCTCCATTCATGCTGTGGTACACAGAAACAACCACAAGGGCTCTACCACTGACCTACATCCCCAATTCTCTTTTTATTTACAGTGGCTCCTCAAGTTATAACTGGTCTAACACATAAACAATGTGGGTTATGACCAGAGCTTTAACTTACAATCTAACTCTTGAATTATGACCGGCATGCCAGCCACTTGTGCTTCCAGATGGTCTCATTTAACCCTTTAAGAGAGTTCTGGAAGAAATATTACAACATTTTTTTTTTTTTGGTCTTTTTTTTTCATTTTTTTTATCGGTACCAAGGATCGAACTCACGACTGCCTGCTTGCAAGGCAGGTGCTTATGCCACTGAGCTAAATCCCCAGCCCCTATTACAACATTCTTTTCTGTATGGGGTTAATCGAGAAATCATAGGCTATTGTCTCTCTAAGGACACTGAGATCTGCCTGTATACAGGAGAGACTTTGAAGGCTTTACAGAGGAGCCAGAGCCTTCAACTGAGAACCTGAACTACAACCAGCCCTCAGGAATGAACTGAGTTCTTATATCAAGGGTCCACTGTACTCAATTTATTTTTTGAGATAGAATCAAAATTTTAATATGTAGTCAGAGCTGGCCTTAAACTCCCAATTTTCTTTTCTTCATCCTCCTGAATGGTTAGCCCATTTTAAAAAATTTACCTTGAGGAAGAGTCTTGCTAAATTACTGCTAGGCTGATCCCAAATTTGCAATCTTCCTTCTTCCTGTCTCAGCCTCCTCCTGAGTAGCTCAGACTACAGATGTGAGTCTCTTAAGCCTGGTGCTAAATTTAAATTTTCAAAATTACCCTTCATGTCAGGTGTAGTGGCACATGCCTGTAACTCCAGCACTTGGGATGCTGAGACCAAAGGATCACTGCAAGTCTGAGACCAGTATAGACTACAAAATGAGCTCAAGGCCAACTTGAACTGCATAGTGAGACCCTGTCTCAAAAACTAGCACCCGGCTGCTGGGAGAAACCAGCACCTCTACCAGGCTAAATGCATACAGGGGGGTCTGGTGCCTAGTGAGTGTCCTGCCTCTGTGCCTGTATGGTGCACCTCCCCAGGCTGCCTGCCAAGTCTGCAGCTGCTATGTTGGTGGAATACAGGAGATGTACGTGTACATACAATATTGGATGGTCAGGCAGGGAGATCAGACAGCAAAGGGATTTGACGAGAACTGGCTTGGGGCTGGAGCTATATGGGTTTAAATTATGGTCAAGGCGTAGTCATGGCATACAAATGAACTTCACCTCAGGTAACTGTGACAACCATGGACTTGTAACTTAGCTGTCCAGTTAGCTTAACTTCATAGTTACAGGACAGCTGTGAAGATGAAATGACTTTTGCAGGGTAACTTTCAGATTTTACAGTTGGCCTTAAGTGAATGTTCACCTATGTTGAGGGGCAAGGGTGCAGAAGTGAAGGAAATATTTGATGCGTGGATATTAAATAAATGCCCAGGATTAAAATGAAAAAAAAGAAGAAGAAGAAACAAAAATTACCCCTTTTACTTTTACCTCCAAGTTCTTTAGTTTTCTTTTATGCTAAGAAGAGTCTACTGGGTCAACTCACCTTCCTTCACTGTCTTTACAGTAAGGACAGGTGCATGCTTCTCGCCGGGTCCTCCGACCAGCTTGGGGTTGTGGATCTGGGCTGTTCTCTCCTTCCTCTCCACCTGCTGTATCATCATGCATCCCATCACCACCTGCTCCATGGAGGCCCAGCTGAGCTCCATGATCACCTAAAATTAAAAGAAAAGGGGGTCAAAGTACAAAGTGGTAAAGTCCTGATGTACAGGCATCTCAGTGACATTTCTCTTTATCCTGTCTCTTTGGACACAGGATCTTACTATATAGATCAGGTTGGCCTCAAACTCCAAGGTCAAGTGACTCCTATCACAGCCTTAAAAGCAGCTGAGACTAAAGGTGCTGACCATTGTGCCTGGCTCTTTCCAGGCTCCAAAGCCATGTTCAAATAGTAACACTCATACCTGAAATCTCACACTGAAAATCTAAACAGCTAGTACACAAGCGAAGATCTAAAAAATCTCATTCAGTATTTACTGGAGGTGCAAGGGATAGAACCAAGGACCTCACACACTAGGCAATTAATTATGTGAGACACAACAAAAGTTATTCTCATAATTTTAAAAACGACTCTATAATAAATTTTTAACTTTTCACTTATTACATTACCACAAGTTATAAGCCCTGATAATACTGGCACATGGAAGGACCGAGGAAAACAGACACTTTAAAATATAGATGAAATAAATTCCCCCAACCTGCGTGTATGTGTATAGTGCTAGTGATGGAACCCAAGACCTTGCACATGCCAGCAAGCACTCTACCACTAAAAAAAATACCAGTGAACACAACTTTTTAAATTGTAGATATACATGTACTTTCAGTAAGCACTAGCCAGTAGATATATGCCTAACTATACAAAGACTGTAAGACAATTACATTTTCTGCAGTTGTATAACAAGAAAAAACAAAATATTCAAAGTGCTTCAAATTTCCTTAAAGAAAATAATTAAGTAAATTTCGACAAACTTTTCCAAAGGACTACTGAGCAGTGACTAAAAAGAATGAGACAGCAGGCTGGGGTGGACAGAGCTACAGGCCATTACAGAAACATGTCCAAAAATCCTTATTCATTATTCTCAACTATCTCCAGAGTAAAATACGATGGAAGTGACTGCAAATAAGACTTTAAAGCGGGACAAGCCACGCATGGTGGTACACTCCTGAAATCCTAACACTTGAGAGGCTCAAGCAGGAGGATCTTTGCAAATCTGAGACCAGCTTGAGCTACAAAGTGAGCCCAAGGCCAGCCTGAACCACACGGCAAGACTGTCTCAAAAAGACAAAAAAGTGAGCTGGGGATTTAGATCACTAGCATAAGCGCCTGCCTTCCAAGCACGCAGTCATGAGTTCGATCCCTGGTACCAATTAAAAAAAAAAAAAAAAAGACAAAAAAGAGAGAGTTTAAAGCTGGGTGCATGTGAGTAATCCCAGCACTTGGGAAGCTGAGGCAGGAGGATCATGAGTTCTAGTCTAGCCTGAAGGTACACAATGAGACCCAGTCTCCAAAAAAGTCTTTAAAGTATTAACTAATTAATTAGCTTATTTATCTTTGCAGTACTGAGAGCTAAACCCAAAGCTTTTATGTTGAACCACATACCTGGCCTTTTGTTTTATTTTATATTTTAGACAAGTCCTCACCATGTTGCTACATTGTCTACACTACCCTAGAACTCCCAAATCTCCTGCCTCAGCCTTGATAGCAGCACTGGTGAATCTATGTAATGTGTGCTTTAGCAGGCTATTTGTTATCTAGAAGGTTCGCTATAACAGAATTATAGGCTTGCACCACCATACATGGCCACTTTATTTTACTTTCTTTCTTTTTTTGGGGTGGGGGGGTAGGTACTGGGGATCAAATTCAAGACCTTGCACTTGCCATGCAGGTACTTATGCCACTGAGCTAAATCCCCGGCTTTACTATTATTTTTTCAGACAGGCTCTTGCTATATAGTTCAAGGCTCGTGTTAAACTCACTATGCAGCCCGGGTTGGCCTCAAACTTAATGTAATTCTCCTGCCTCAGCCTCGCTAGTGCTGGGATTAGAGGTGTGTAACACCATGCCCAATTCCAGCCACTTACTGTCTTGAGCTTTTCTAGACAGGATCTCCCTTTGAAGTGCAGGATGCCCTTGAATTTATTACGTGGCCAGGCTGACATCAAACTACTGGCAAACACGTGTTACCATGCCTGCTTTCCAGCCACTTTAAAGAATTCTAAACTAGAAACTACAAAATCTGAGAAAGTTCATAGGGCATATAGTATAGAAGGGAAACTTTCTGAAATGAATCAAAGCCATTCTGAAACCACACATATTTATAGTATTATAAATTCTGACATGAAAAAAAAGGCCTGAAGTCCAAGTTAATTCTGTACAGCTAGCTATCCTACCCAGGAAAAATTTTAATTTGGGACTATAGTCTTTTCAGAATGCTAGAAAGAAATTATTAAACTGAGATCCTATTACACCAGCTAATGGCATTTGCCTGTTTTCCTTTATAATACAGTGTTGAGGATTAAACCTGGTGCCTCACCAGAGCTAAGCACAAGCTTTATCAATTAGCTTTGCCCTAGCCACTTATTTGAATTTACTGGGCTAGCACTACTCAGAGGCTGAAGCAGGAGGATCACAAGTTCCAGACCAACCTGGACAACTAAGTTAGAACCTAACTCAAAATAAACTGTAAAAATAAGTAATGATGCTGCATATCTGTAATCCCAGCACTTGGGAGGCTGAGGCAGGAGAAGTGCCAAGAACCGAGGCCAACTTGGGCTACAAGTGAGTTTAAAGCCAGCCTGAACTACATAGCAAGACCCTGTCTCAAACAAAACAAAACCATGTAAAAAGCAGAGGGGGGGATGGGATCTAGCTTAGTGATATAGTACTTTCTAACACACAATGAAGCACTGTGTTTAATAACCAGCACTCTAGCAATCAAAAGAAAGAAAAAAAAGAAAGATGGGTAGATAGGTAGATTTGTGTAAATCACATTATAATTTCTTTTCTGGGCAAACTATTAAATACTACAAAGTTCATGGCCTGTGTTTTTAAAACTTTCAACTCTGTAATCTATTATATATACATAAATGGAAAAGAAAAGCTTCACAAACAGTATGTACTCTCACTATAACATATAGAATTTTAAATTTTTTATTATTTTTTGTGGTACTGAGGACCAAATCCAGGGACTATGAACTGAGTGGTACCCCAATCTCTTTTTTTTGAGACAGAATCTTACTGTGTAGTCCAGCTTGGCCTTGGACTCATGGCAATCCTTCTGTCTCAACTTTACAAGTGCTGGGATTACAAAAGTGTGCTTTTTTTGGTTTCTTAAAATAGGGTCTTGCTATGTAGTTCAGGCTGGCCTCCAACTGATGCCAATCCTCCTGCCTCAGCCTCCTGAGTATAGGCATGCATTACCATGTTCAACCTTTTATTCTTTTAAACAATAACTTTACTAACCTGATTTCCTAGTCCAAAGTCAATCAGAAATAGAAAATTAGAAAAGGAAGAGACTAGATGAATTATACTATTTCTTCTTCCATACCCAGTTTGGCACTGATGCACAGGAGCTTATTATGTACTCTGCCACAGAGCTGATTTTCAAGCCCTTTAATTTTTTTTCTTCTGTGATAAGTTCTCAGTAAATTGTCTATGCTGATTTCGGACCTTTGATCCTCCCACCTCAGCCTTTTGAGTATCTGAAATTACAGACATGTGCCACTGTGCTTGGCTGAAACTACTCTTAGTGACAGAGAAATAGACCACTGGGAGTACTAAAATGTAATGTCAAAAAATTCATCTTGGCCACACATGGTGGTGGTGCACACCTGTTAACCGGCACTTAGGAGGCTAAGGCACGAGGACTACTCACAGAGGATTGCTCAGGAGCCTGGGCTCACAGTGAATTCAAGGCCAACCTAAACTATCTAATGAGACCCTGTCTCAAAAAAATCAAACAAACAAATGCCAAATACTTCACTATTGTGAAATAAAATTAACACAGGAAAGAGAATAAATGCTTAATGATAATTAACAGTTTTTTAAAAAATCTTCTAGCGGGTTGGGGATTTAGCTCAGCAGCATAATAAGCACCTGCCTTGCAAGCAGGCAGTTGTGAGTTCGATCCCCGATACCGATAAAAAGGAAAAAGACAAAAAAAAAAAAAAAAAAAAAAAATCTGGGCGACGGATTTAGTTCATTGGCATAAGTACCTGCCTGGCAAGCACGACATCGTGAGTTCAATCCAGGGTACCAAAAAAAAATAAAAACAACCTTCCAACAATGAACAATGAGGAATTTTTTTTCTGAAAAATCATTTATTGAGTTAAAATTCACATCTGGCAAAATTTATCCATGAGGTAAGTTAGATTTGGAGTTATTTTGCTGTATAGGAGACAGCTGGCAATGTCAGAAGATATTTCTGATTATCACAAATTTGGTGACTACTGCCACTAAGCTTGTTTTGTTACTAGGGACTAAACACAAGGCTTCTGCACTATGGCACACACCTGTTACCCCAGCACTTGGAAGCTGAAGCCAGAAGACTGCAGTTTGAGACCAGCTGGTTTACAAAGTAAGCTCAAGGCCAGCATGAACTGTATAGTGAGATCCTGTCTCAAAAGACAAAAACAAAAACAAAAACAACTGGACTGGGGATTTAGCTCAGCGGCATAAGCACCTGTCTTGCAAGCAGGCGGTTGTGAGTTCGATCCCCGGTACCATTAAAACAAAACAAAACAAAAACAACCTTCTGAAATAACCTACATATCCTTTTTTTCTTTATTTTTATTTTGAGATGAGGTCTTACTAAGTCACTAAGTTGCCCAGGCTAGGTTGGAATTTATGATCCTCCTGCCCCATCCTACCATACTGCTAGGATTACAGATTTATGTCACCATGCCTGGCTAGGATAGATGTTTAAAGAAGAAAAACCAGGCTGGCCAGGTGTGGCAGAACATGCATGCGATCCCTTGAGAGCCTGAGAGACAAGGATCCCAAATTTGAGCTTAACCTGAGCAAACTACTGACTTAACCAAACTGTTTGAAAACTTAGAGGCCTGGAGGCCTGGGATTTCAGCTCAGTGACGTAAATGCCTCCTTGGCAAGCACAAGGTCATGTGTTTGATCCCCAAAAAAAGGGGGGAGGGGCTT